ATACTGTTTGGATCACTATATGTTTGCAGAGGAGATTCATGGATTACCGTTGTTAGTAGAGAGAGACACAATTATCCAGATGAAAACCAACATCCTTATTTGATGCTGGAAACATTCAGTCCCAACAGGATGAAACTCTGGTGAAGAAGTTATAGAGAATTACTGAATCTGAATCAAAGCAACGTTTAGACAATAAATCACACCTACGATACAGCATTTCTATCCTTTATGTTGCTTCCTGAAAGTAGAACCACAGTTCCTGAAAATTATAGACAAGTTTTTTTTTTCTAACTATCTGTGACTTTATATCTTTTTAGTTTGGAAGAATGAATGTGACTGTAAACAGTTTACACCTGCAATAAGTATGAGAATTAAAATAGTGCACATTTCTGTAATATTCTAGGCTTCAAATCTACATTTTGAAACACTTCACAATAAAACCATAAAGTTCCATTTATCTTTTAACCCTCAGGGGTATGTTTTACAGTTGATCTTATTAGAACTAAAACTGTAATTAAATATCATGATTACCGTTTGTCTCTTGCCCCTCTGTTCCTCTAGTCGTCTGTGTCTTTTTCTCATAGACGACCAAACTGACTTCTTCTCCTTTCTTTTTTATTTCTTCTTTCTTGCTCAGTAAGAAATTGGGAAGTTTGTCAGCACTTATAAAAAAAAGTGCTTGACCAATGAGAGAAGATGAATTTATGATGTATAGATCTAACAGATATGGATAGAAAGTATATGTTGATTGTTATAGTTTCCATCTTCTATAAGTTCTAAATGTAATTTGCTTCACCTGTGAGACTGAGGAGATATGAACCTTTAAAAATGGAAGGATTTTTTTATGCTTAGTTATATTACTACGTTTGTTGCTTTACTGTCTTTTATTCAGTTTCTTACTTAAGGAAAATAATTCCCTTAAATCATTTTAGTTCATTACTGTTAATGATGCATTTTCCTTTTGATATCTGATTTTCTTGGATTCATAAGATGAATCTCTGAACAGATCAAGTTTTTAACTGAAGTATTTTAATCAAACAGCCACTTGGAAACATTGCAATATTTCTTCTATCACAGAATTACAGAGTGCTGAGTCCTTCACTATCTTCTGTTTTGAAACATGTTTGTTCAGCAGCAACTATGAAGGTATGTAAGCTGGAGGTCTGCTGATGGCACCACAGTATTAGGTCTCATTACCAACAGCTGCTGATGAAATCAATCTACCATGGTCTGTGGTGCTGAGGGCAGGAACAATGCTGCCCCCTTTAGGAGAAAGTATGTAACAAAGTTTAGAGTCTGGCATGTTTTCCTCTGATGAGAAGATATATTATTTGGTCCTAAAATAATTCTGTTGATCAATGCTTTTTCCATCTGATCCAATTCTTCATCAAATTTAACAAGTCCTATTTTGTAGGGCTCTGCCCTCTGGTTAAGTTTATTTGCAGTTGTTTTTGGTCAGTGTTTAGTTCTTGAGTAATTGTAAATTCCCTGACTTTAAAATTTCTTAAAGACACAGAAAGAAAAAAGGTGAACACCTTAAATTGTGATGTTTAGGGAT